TTCACCACAAAAATGCACAACCTCAAAAACACACCAAGAGGTTTAATTTAGTGTTTTGTTATCCTGCGCTTGAGTCCCTGAGTCACAAATGTTTTCAGCAAAGTCAGAGGGTTTCAAGAAAACCCAACACAGCATGCAACACGATTTCAGGAAAGCCCTTACTCAGTACTTACCCATTCGGACTGCATGGTCAAAAAGTACCGTTTCCTCCAAAAGACTGTTTTCAGGTCGTTTTTGTCCAGTCACTTCTCCTTTAAGCTGCCAAGGTTTCTCCTCTAACAACTCGTCTTCTAAACTTTTTATTTTTTTGCTCATCTGAAAAACATAATTTCCTAAGAAGTTTAAAACACAAAGCTCTCAACTAAACTTAAGGCAGGAACTTAATAGTTATTTCAGGTACTTTAACTCCTCCTCACATCAGGATAGGGAACACATGGTTGCATCTATATCTGGTATAGAGAAGCCACTTTTCTTTTTCCCTTAATTTGTGAATAGCCTCTTCATATTTGCCAGAGACTGAACACACTACATGATAAATAAGAAAAAAAAAAAAAAAATTGGCCAGTTTTGAAGTATTAGCAAAATAAAGGAAATGATTACCTTTTCCTGTCTCTTCTCAAAAGATGACTTTATTTCACTGGGATTGCTGCCCTTCTCTGACTGCATATCAGTAATATCTTCTGTTTCACTGTCATCTGGCAAACTAAAAGTAACTTTTTTGGAAGCTTCTTTACTTCTCATATTCTCCACCATCATTTCATTCATATCCTCAACCCTGTAATATCAGAATTTAATATAAAATAAAGGTTGAAAAGCCTCTATAATTTTTTACATGAAGTTATTTCAGCCATTAGAAGTTTACCTGTTAAACTGATGCACACATAAGAAATAAGAAGGCAGGAGACATTGGGAAAATTTGTATATATTAAAAACAACTTTCAAGAACTGAAGTTACAGCTATTAAATGACCTATTCAAATAAATGTCAAGAAACAATGCTCAAAAGATAAGCAAATGAACTACTTTTTAAATCATATGACAATGCAAATCATGACCATGCAACAAGTAACAGAGAATGGCAAACCATGACCAAAGTAAGCCTGTGATCACACTTCATTTTCTGCTTTATTTCAGTGTACAATTACAAGGATGTTCTTAACTGCAAATAATGCATATACTTACTCAGACATGTTTTCTTCATTCTGCTCTTCAATAGCACTGTCCCCTTCCTCTTCCTGATCATCTTCAACATCATTAGCTACTAAATCGTCATTGACCGGATCAAAGAAATCTTCATATGTCAAGTCTCTAGAACATTTAACTGGCTAAGAAGGGAAAAGAGAAAACAATTCAAACCAAACAAGAACTGTTAAGACTGACAGAAGTCTAACGGTATCCCTGTCTTAAAGGATTAAAGTCTTTAGCAAGTGGGGAATAGCACTACCTGTGTAAGAGTAATACATTTTAGTGAAATATTAACCTGTGTTAGGGCATCTAAGTAAAGCTAATCTCTTGTATAAGTATTTAAAATATTCTACCACTGAAATTCATTTCTAATTTCAACATATACAGAAGTCAAAGAGCAGTAGATTTGCCAACTACTTGTCAGAATGCGTACATGTTCCATTGTACCTTGGGCATAGCTCTTACTTGCTAGTGGAAGTGTCTGGTAACATTAAATAATAAAAGATTTATTTTCAAAACAAGTGCTAGGAAACTTAAATCAGTTACAAAACCAGTCACCTTAGAGATCTCCAGATACCAGATGTCAATGCTGAGTGACACATCTTTTTAATTTGCTGGGTTACCTATTCTGCAATTCTGCAAGGTCATTTACTTCTTGTGACATACTATACTATCTCTTCCTTTATTCATCTAAAAAACATGAGACTGATCTAAAGAGTATCTTCTTCTATACTAGGACATTTTGTCACCAGATATTCATGTTAAATAAAATGAAGCTTCTGAAGCTTCCATTAGTCATCTAATCAATGTTAACTTGGAATTTCCTACTCAAAGTCCAACAATTTATAGTCATCCTAACAAATACCAAGTTTTGAGTTAAAGGAAAATAGGTATCAGAAAGTTAATTTGCTGATATTCTTACTTTGACTGTAGCTTCTTCAGATTCTTCTTCCTCATCATCTGAGATGATGTCTTCGAAATAATTAATATCATCTTCTTCCTCCCTGTTTTCTTTCTCTGCGTGTTCTAAAAAAGCTTCCATCTCAGCCAGCTTGAAAAACTTGTCATCCACTATAGATTTTCTTCCCGTTTTTTTTAATGTGGTCTCCTTGGCTGTTTTAGTTTCTTGCTCCAATGCCTCAATATCAAAGTCAAGATCAGAATCCTCATCACTGCATTTCTGCATTTTGCTTTTTTTGAGTTTACTCTGCTTTTCTTTAGCTTTAGTTTTATCTTTTGTATTCTTCTGTTCAGTTTCTGCATCCATTATGGTGTCTTCGAACTCCCTGTCGCTGCTGGTCTCTGCATCGGAGTCAGTCTCTTCCTGATCTGAGAGAAGGCAAAGACCTTCATCCTTGGCATCCCTTGCAATGGACTTCTTGAAGAAATCGAGAACTTCATTGTTCTGGAGCTCTAGCTGCTGCCAAATCTGTTCTTCATCAAAGTTTTCTATCACCAGCTCTTTTAGAGGACCCCCACGAACTATATTACTTCCCAGAGCTTTATTCAAGTCATAGAGAATCTTTGTTAATGCTCTGAAGTCAGAGGACAATCCATCTTGCACACTGAAGTAGAAAAAAAATTAACAGAGCTTTTAAAAGGGCAAGTTAGTATTAATTTTTTATTTTCTATTTTGCAGAATTTACTAGCTTTCATTCATTTTGCATCTCCTATTAAGTTAATCACATAGTCATGCTGCAGCTCTTATATGCTTACGTATTTTGGCGCTACACAATAATACCTTTCAACAATTACTGCTGATGCTTACCTTCTACACATTTCTTCGGAGTACTACTAGTAAACATTCCTTGAAATAAAACAATTATAATTTCATTACAGCTTCATTATGATTAGTGTATAAAGTACCAACTGAAAAGAATATTCCACCCTTCTACGCAGTCGTATCTTACTGTATCTTGAATTTGGGGAAGTAAATCGTATAGCGTTAGACACCTCAGACACCCACGATACGGTCCCTTGACTTTAAAAAGACAAGTCCCTATCCAAGACGCCGGGAAGTAATTTTCTTCTCTAAAACCACCCATGCTTCAGCATAGCCCGTAAAACCCACACCTCCGTCTCCCAGCTCCCGAACGCTGAAGGACGGACCCCGCAGGCCTCGCCGCTGTTAACACCCCCGCGGCCCCGGGGTGGCCGCCGGCGGTCACGCGGCCTCCCGCAGACCGCCGAGTCCCGCACACATGGCGGAGCAGCCCCCGCGCACGCACGGTTTGGCTCTCGGCCGCTGCAAGGCTGCATCCCGCAGTACCTGAGGAAGCGTTCGGGGCGCGCCGCGGCGGCGCCCGCCACCCTGAGGCACGTCTCCAGCCCCTTCACTGCCGCCATCTTCCCCCCCGCCGAAGCGCATGGAACAACCTGGCGGCACCGCCCCCTGGGGCGCGGGCTGTGCGCTCCGCACGAGTCCCGCGGCCAGCACCGAGGTTCCGCACACCGGAGTTCCGGCTCGGCTCCTCGCCCGTGCTGCTGCTGCTGCTGCTGCCACAGAGCCCCCTCGCTTGCTCGTGTCCCACCCGCTGCTTTCGGCGCGCCTGCTCGCCTTCGCATTGAACCGCCAGCAGGGTGCTGCACTCATTTACCGATGGCTGCTGCTTCCTCGCCTTGGAAGAGCGCGATACTGCTCTGGATTGGGGTGTTCATCAGCGCTGGAAACACTCCTCTAAATATAGTACCGCTACAGTCATCTTTGCAGTTGTCTCTCTGACCTAGATAGAAGGGCTATTTTGGAACCGCACATTTCCAGCTGATTCTGTGAGCAAAATGCCCGACGTTACCTGTGTGTGCAAGCTCCCAGCTAGCTGGGCACCCATTCACATGCCTATTCCATTCACTTCCTAGCACTGCCCAGTGTTCAAGTGCTTTGTTACTTTATATCGCATAGCTTCCTCAAAGTTTATTTTGTGAAGTCAAATTAAGCACTGCACCCACAGACTTGTGAGGAAGCTGCAGCTGGGGGAGACAACCCATTCCATTCCTCTTCCATGCTGCAAAACACACCGACAGGGGCTGCACGCGTCTGCATTTACCCTGCTGCTCCTGGCCCCAGCCATCCACAGCCATTCGGTACCTCGATCCAAAACTGTGGCTGGCCTCTTAACTTTGTTCTTGTGACTGCCTCTGCCGTTCCTCTGCTGATTTCATGTTTCCTTCCTACCAACGGCAGAAGCCTTTTCAGCATAAGGAAAACAAAGCCCTGCTATGCAACTTCTGTGTGCCTTGTCACTGGCACTTTGCACCCTCAAAAAGCCTTTGTGTGGAGCAGTGCTCAGCCAGCAGAGGCCTGAGCGTGACCTGCACCAGAGCTTCTCTGATCAGCATAAGCATATCTGACACTTTACAACCTGGGTTGGAAGCAAAAAGCATCTTATCTTGGGACTTTTAAATACCCATTTTGACTACTGACTTTGATCTGCAGTTTTAATTATATCAGATTTGAAATGGCACAAGCTGGTTATGCATTCTGTATGTACCATAGCACCTGCCATGCCCCATACCCCTGACACGTCAGGGATGCAGCATCAGAAGACAGCCTGCTCATTGTCCCGAATCTTTTGCACAAGTGCTTTAGTCAGATAACTTAATCTCTCTACAGGTGTCCCTTGCTATCGCTGGCCCCTCTCGCACTTCAGCGCAGTAAAAGCCTGCGGATCCCCTGCACAGCCGCCTGCCCGCACTCAGACCGCACGCTGCCTGGCAATGGGCGCTCGAGGGAGCCCTCTTCTCCCGCGAAGGAACCGGGCAACTAAGGCCTCCAGCCCAGCGAGGGCTAACGAGCCCCTCTCCCTGACACTGCCATTGCCGCTGCCGGTGCCCCGGACCAAGACGCTCCGGTGGCGCCGGTCCTGTAAACACAGCGCCGAAGAGGCCGCTTCTCGGGCGTGCTTCGAGCGCCGCGCGGCCGGGAGGCGGTGGCCGCTGCTATGGTGACGGTGGAAGGCGGCCGCTCCCCCGGAGAAGGCCCCGCCCGCCGCGGCCGAGCCCAGTGCGAGCGGTGAGATGGCGGCCTCCCTGGGGCGCGCGGTGGCCGGTAACGTGGGCGCCGGGCGGGCCGGGGCGGGCGGCGGGGCCAGTGACGGGCGGCCGCGGGTCTCGGTGCCTGCTCCGGCCTGGGAGGTCTGGCCCGCGGCGGCGGGCAGCCCGCTTCGCGCGGGGGCCTTGCGGGCCGTCAGGGCGGGACCGCGCCGCCCGTGCCTGCCGTGCGGTGCGGGAGCGGGTCCGAGGCTCCCCGTGACAGCCTTACAGGCCGCGACAAACCAGAACTGCTTTTATAAGTGAAAACAAGCCCTCATGATCCAGATGACAGACACGTTAACAACGAGCATTCTCAGGCTTAGAATAGGCTTATGCGACAAACTCCAAGCTTAATACTAGAGCCACAAGGAACAGCTTGTCTTTTTTAAGGTACAGCCTGGAGGTCAAATGCAGAATCATTTCCTGTTCATTATAATTATCTGGACTGTTAGCTGTCTTAATAGTAAGGGCAGGTTAAACTAACTGTATCTAAACCACACCATTTCACTCAGTAGACTTCCAGAGAAAAGTGAATAAAGAGAGTCAGTGCTTCAGTGATCGATCTGTGGGATACCAGGAATAAAAACACCTTTGTGGAATTGCACTTTGATGGAAGAAACCAGAGCTGCAGTAAAGTGATGCTCAATTTCTAGGAACTATGGAGCCCATCTAATTCCCAAAACCCATCTTCTGCACAGAGCAAATCATCACTTTGGATGGCCTAAGCCTTGTTGGCTGGCCAAGTTTCCAAAATGCTAACATCACCTTGAAATTGTTGGGATTTAAGAATGGGCAGACAGCCTCCATATACCAGATTCCTTGTGACCGTAACATCCTCTCCATTCTTGGCAATTTCTCTCAACTTCAGGTGGTTGACAACAGAGCAGTGCCCAGTGACAAGGTTCTCCTTACTGTGACCCACATTTGTATAACCTCCCCATAGAGAACATGACTGAATTCAGTTGGATTTGGCTTGTGTTTGATGACTTAGCCAATGATCACTGCCCCGCATAAGGAGCAACAAGCCTATGAATAAAAATTTGAAGAGGATCTTATTTTATGCGGTACTTCAGATTTGTTACTTCACATTCATAATTGCTCTGTTATAGAATGTAAGCCTCCACTGGTACAACTGTGCACGTTTAAACTCTGATGTGCATAATACTAGTAGATCAGTGAACCATTAATAGAATAAAGCCCAAATAAATAAATTTAAAAATATATTTCAAATGAAGCTGAAGAAGGTGACATAGATTCTGCTTTATCACTGAGACTAGGAAGCCAGCAATCGCGTAAGAGAGTAGGGTCAGATGAATCTTCTTTAAAGGACAAATTCAGATTTGGCTGTCAGTGTTTGAAAAATAAGTTCTTAAAAAAACCCTACAAGTAGGGCAAATGATGCATACACCTGGAGAAGCCACTGCATGTGTGAATTTAGTCAGCATATGCAAGTGTTTGAAGCAGGGCAGATACTTGGATAGATGCGTTAGTCAGAATATCCACTTGCTTCAAAAGAAGCTGAGAAAGTTGTTTTTTTTAACACTGGAGAAAGTTAAGAATTACTTGAATAATTCTGTAAGTCAGTTGAGAAATACTTTTGTCATTGAAGAATTTACCCATAACAGTTAATAGGAGTAGTTTTTGATATATGCACAAATATGTTTCTTTCCTGAAACATGGAAGTGATGGGGTTTCAGTCTGAAATTTTCCAAAAAGCTTTCTTTTTCACTGCAGGGTCATCTTTCGGTTATTGGATTAGAAGATGATGAAAATTTTAAGTAACTTCTACTAAATTTTAAGTAAATTTAGGTAATTTTTAAGTAAATTTTAATAATAATGTTACTAATCTGTATAATACAAGAAAAATGGGTTTTGTTTAATCTCAGACAATTCATACTGGTAATTATGGGTTTAAATTCAAAGCTCTGTATACATATGACTAGAGCTAGGGTAAATTCACAAGACTTCTAGAATAAAGAAAAAAAAACCCACCAAACCTGCAGAAAAGTCCACTGCCTCTACATACTCAGAGGAAAAATATATAGAGTTCTACCACCCAATCCATAATTAAGTGAGAAGAGAAAATAGATGCATAAATAATATTGTCATATGGGTGGGCATTTAAGTATCTTTGACTTTATAAGAATTCTAGAAATATACTTCACTTTTTCATTCTATTATCTTTCCAGATATCACACCACAAGAATCAAACATTTCTTAGGCAGAACACAACAGAAGTAGCATTTTCTATTCTTTTTAGCTATTGCTTCAGTAATAACTGAGTAACAGTCTGCCTCTCTAATTTCTGTTGATTTACAAAATGCAAATTAAAATATAATAGGTATGTAGTCATACACCCTATGTGAAGTACAGCAAGAATTACAGATGGGAGATGTCAAAAAAGAAGGGAAAAATCCTAGCCTTTCCCATCCATACAGATTGTTTGAAAAATCTGTACTAGTAGTCATTTCCACTGAACTGTTGTCTGTCAATATTTGGAAGGAATGAAACAATAAAGGGCTCTAGGGAACACAACAAATTATATAGTAAGTGATTCTTATCTTTCAAAGGATATTTGTGTTTTGGAGAATACTGACCTGTAGGTGGAAGAGACTCTCTTGCTTCAGCAAGAGCTGAATCAGGATATTTCTGTGTAGAAGTTGCTAGGGTATTATTTTTTATCATTGAAAAGTACTTGGAAAAGTTTTTTCAGAAAAATAAAAAGTTGACAAATACTTGGAAATACTGCTTTACTATGCCATTATGATAGCCTAAAGGTAACCAGTGAAAAATGATTTTGTAGAACCTCGTCTGTAATGAAGGAGATGAAAGGATGTACTGTGTGAAGGCTGACAAAAAATACTCCAGGGCAGTCACTTGCAGAACTGGGCAAGTTTCTGGAAATACTTAAAGTAGGATGTTGATTTAGTATTCTCAAAAAATTCTGAAGAGACTTACTTTTGTGGTACTAAGTCTTTGGAAGTATGTACATTGCAGTTTTAAGTCTCAAACACACACAAACACTTCTTCCTTCATCAGCACAGTGCTCAGAAAGCTTTAAATTCAAGGACTGCATTAGTTGTCTTTGTGAAGAAAACTTAACTAATAGTTGTGGAGTCTTGAATTCCTGTGAAATGGTAGTTCCCATTTTCATTCAGTGAAGCTACCAGCTTAATTACAGCTACTAATAATCTTACAATTACTACTAACCTTACAGAGTACAAAGAGCCTGGGAAAATGCAAGCCAGGCTATCCTCACTGTATTGGCAAAGCATCAGAATCTCATTGCATGTTTGGCACAATCTCGTAGCAAAATAGCACATTTGTGACTTTAAAGCTAAGAATGACTCAGAGACTTCCAAAAATGCTGAGATGCCTCTAGCTTGGCTTTGAGGCACTGTGAACTCTGACATGGCCTAAAGCAAACTGGCATGAAATAAAAATGCAGGTTTTTTGAATATAGCCCTTCATCTAATTCTAATTCTGGTGCTAGAAACAACTGATATGATGACAATTTCTCCCCTAACCTCTCTACATTCTAGACTCAGATTCATTTTTAATGTAATTAATTTGTAAGTATCCTCATTTTATATCCTTTTCTCAGTGTTTTGTTTTTTTTTTTTAAACAAGGAACCCTATAACTATTTGTAAGCAACACGGCAATTTGACACATAGTGCAGAGTTCAGTACTGCCTTGTCAGAGCAGTCAGTGAAGAGTTCTGAAAATATCTAAGCAGTTTTTCATGACACTGAGTTTCTCCATAACTTCTCCATCTTTTGTCTACGTTAGCCCTTATCTTTGTGTCTTATTGTCATCCAATATTATAATTAGGTTTTCATTTATCATGAATCAAATCATATTCTTTTCCTTCTGTAAGTCATACTGTAGTCAGTGACACTTGTTACATTTAAAAGGCTATTATGATTTTAACTTTTAAGGATGATCTTCAAAATTATTATTGATCAGTTGGCCATAATATTGTTCACAGTACTTAGAACTGAAATATTTCTCAGCATCTTGAAACAGATCAGTGAAATAAGTATAAGACCTGTATGGCATGTGAAAGGTAAGAAGGGCAAATGACTTAATCATCTGAGAAAGTAAGAAATAGTGAGATTTTTTGATTCCTTAAGCTTCAGCTGCAACACGACATTTCTTTCCTTGCTAGAGTTAGTTCTGACAGCTGGGAGCTGAAGTCCTTTCTTTACCTTCTGGATCTTGCAGTACCACTTCTGTCCAAGGTTTTGTCTAGGTTTTCTTACTTATTTGTTATGATCTGTAGATGAACAGGCATACATCATTTCTTTCTCTATTTTGTAAGAAGCTCTGAAGAAACCAGAAGTAACTTTTAAGTACATTATATAGTTGAACATTACATTTGGCCATGTATTCCTCTTTTTAACAGGCATGTGTAAGCATTTACACCAAATTTGTGTTTGGCTTTAGTTTTGTTTTTTATACTTCTGAATAATTTCAGTCCCTGAAAAAAAATTTAATTGAACTGTTAGCACTACAGTATAACTCTGTCCTTGGTCTCAGCTTTGCACACTGGTGTGCTTATGACATAGGAGTTATTGAGAGGGGATAGAGCAGAAAGGGGATAGAGCAGATACCAATACTTTGTCAAAAACACTGTATCTGTGCTGTTCACTTTTTTTCAGGACTTCTTACCAGATTACAGACTTCAGCTACCACTTCACGAACTCTATTACTATCCAGTTCCTGTTCTCAAAACATTCCAAGCTGTTTGTGGAAACTGGGCCGACTTAATCATGTAGCGATTGCAGTACCTGATTTGGAGAAAGCTCAATCCTTGTATAAAGATGTGTTAGGAGCACAGGTGAGCGAGACTGTTGCTCTTCCCGAACATGGTGTCTACACTGTTTTTGTGGAGTTGGGAAATACCAAGCTGGAACTTCTACATCCTTTAGGAGAGGAGAGCCCCATTGCAAGCTTTCTGCAAAAAAACAAGACTGGAGGAATGCATCATATCTGCATTGAGGTATTTTAACACAATATAACATGCAATAAGATAGAGACATATATGCATAAGTTTTTCATAGGTTTGACCTGTCAAGATCTGTCAAGAAAAATTTGTGAGAATTTATATTGCATAAGAAGAAGTCTTAAACATGACTTTTTCCATTTTGGAAATCACATGAGCTATGTGATATTTTTTTTCCTCTTCTAGGCTATAAAGATTAAATTGGGGAGGGGAGGGATAAATATCCAGTGTGGAAGGTGGACAAGCCCAAGGGCTTGTGAAGAATGTTTGACAGATGTGAGCTTCCTGACATAGAAAGGACACACTGGAAAAAGACATAGTTTTAAGTTTAAGCTAAGGCATAGGTTTAGATTTTCAGAAGTTTCTTTCTGTTTGATATTTAGTTGATAATTGTATACAGAAGTCAAAAAAGATTGACAGTTGTACTTACCAAACAGCAGTAAAGTCGCCAGAGTTCCTTCTGTCCTGTTCTTCCTTGTCCATCAAAGAGAGATTGGTCTGGGAGTACACAAGATGTAAAGGTGCTGGTAAAGTACTTATCTTATAAATATACTCATGTTTTAGTGTAGATGTTTGATGCAAAGTGTCATGCTGCTGCCTATGATATATGTTTTTAATATTTTACAGATCTGAGTCTTCCAAACTTTATTATTTCATGCAAAGTGTAATAATAAAAAGTAATGGGATTACTGATGTAAAAATTGTTTTCAGAATACATCTATTATGACCAGTGTTTGCAGTTGCATGCTTTCTTCGAGAATTGATAAATTTTGCATACACACAGGCATTGCATTTTTTCTTACATTGTTTGACTATTTGCAGATACTCAAGAATAAGAAAATGAATGCTGTTTAAATTGACCATAAATTGTATTGCTAGGCAGTTCTGCTTTAGAAATGTTTTGACCTCAACTGAACTTAGGAAATGGCGACTGTAGAAGAAAGAGGGAAGTGGCAGTAAGAAAAAAAAAAACCCTCCAGTCCTCTCTAAGACCAGTGGACTGACTTACAGGTACAGGGAAGGAAGTTGTAGGCATTTCTCAGCAAAACCAGGTCAAAACCCCCTAGGCTTTCAAGTATATGCAATCCCTTTTAAGATGTTTAAAGAAATACTTTTTACCAGCTGAAATAGTTCTATGTAGATTGGTATCTTGTATGAGAGATGATCTTGTTGCATATAAACCAAAGATGGCTGTCAAGAGAAGTCATACAGCTAGTTATGAAACTTGAGAAGAATGGAACACGCTAATTATACCACATTGGACAATGTAAAAGTGTTGTGTTAAAAAAGGAAATTTATAACTGTATACAATAGGTCAAGCAAGCCAGGGGTCATAATCTAGCAGTTCATTCCTGTTAATCGGGTGAGCTAGTGCTACTTGCAACCAGATTTTCCTAAATGAAGTCCTGTAAATCACTAACAGATAATTGGGGTGGAGAGGGAAAGATTGTCCTAAGTCCTTCAGGTTTGTCTCCATGTAAAAACAAATGGAAGATTGTAGACTAATTTACATAGAGAAAAAAGCTATCCATTGTTGACCTGCTGTTTACGTGGGACTGAAAACCACTGCCATAGTCAATCAAAAAGATATTAACCTCCCTCCTCCAATTGTCCATTCTTCTCACAATGGAAAACCTTACAATTTCAAAGATACGTTGTCTTCTGAAGCTGAGCAAAAACAGTTTTCAGAAAAACTGTGAAAGAACTTCCATGTTAGTTGACTGATCATCTGAAATAAAACAAGTATTTTGTAGAAATATCTCTCTAGGAACGATTTTATTGGAAAAAGCTGAATTGTAAAAATTCTTTCCATACTGCAAAGGAAGCCTGACAAGTTTATCAAAATGTGCTTTTACTTTCTTCCGTCTTACTATTCAAAGGAAAATTTCAGACAGAAGTTTTGATAGGGTATTTGTTTCAGACAAAATAAGCATTCTAAGAAGAAATTAGATTATTCCTGACCAGCTATAATTGAATTTAGTACCTGCAAAGAAAGCATGCTGGACACTTGTAGAGTAAGAGAGAAATCTGATCCTGATACTCTCCTAACATGGATGCACCAACAGGCTTTCCACTGTTTACTCTCTCTGCTTCCTCAGGATGCAGTAATTCATTCCAGCTGAGCCCAGACATAGTTCTTCTGGCCATCTCTGCAAGACAGGAGCAGCAGCTGCAGTAGCTTTTCTGCTTGGGGAAACAACCTGGAGGGGGCTGTGGCACACATGACATGTGCTGGTTTATTTTAGATGAAACTTGACAGTCACTTTATTTTTTTTAGCAGACTGGTAGTTCTGTGTAGGAAGAACTGTAGCGAGTTCAGAATTTTCATGAACAGAATTGGTGCAAATGAGTAGGAATAAACTGATGTCTATTCCTCTGAATTAAAGCTAGGTATTTCCTTCTTCCCTACAATGGCTTCATGCAAGTTTATTCACCAAGTTATGTCCAGACATCTGTCTTGAAAAATGGCAATGGTATTAATTCCAGCTTCTTATTGATTATTGAATCTTGGATTTGCCAAACTGAGTGCTAATTTAATTATTTCAAAGAACTAATGCAGTTATGGTCTGAGAAAATTCAAATTTCATCCGATGACATGACATCAGACTTCAGATCACATTATGCAGTGTAGACATGGTTTTGTTAATTACATATTTCTGCAGGAAACTGTACCGAAATATGTTAAAAGCTATGATCAGAATCAAGCTCAATAAGAAAACAGGTCATATTCTGGGTATGTTTCTGATAATTCTGAGGTTTTCTTAGTAAACTTTATGAAGCTTAACCTACTCAGAAGGAAGATACATACATGTAAAAGAGGTTTTCCTTTTACCCTCTACCTATCGCCCTCCCTTTTACCAGCATCTAATGAGTTCTGTCATCAATTAAGGAGGCATTCTTCTTTAGTTATTGATAGTTTGAAAGCAGTACGATCTCAGTAATAGTAGTGCAGACTTCAGATTAGTTATGGAGTCCTTATAAAGTAACAATATAAAATAAACAATGGGCTTTGTGCATGAGTGATTCTTTAATAATGTCTTAAATATAACACAGTCTATTTAAACAATATTTTATAAAATCTTCAAACAACAAATGCAAACCTTTGTAGGATTTTTAAGACTAGATGTTTTAAAACTTTCATAATTTATTTTCAAAATTATATTAAAATTTAGAAATAACTTTTAGTAAGGAATTACATTATTGCTCCTAATTGTAGAATCTGCATAATACAGTGTAACATGTATTAATTTGTGTGAACTGTATTTTTCTTTTATAAGGTTGATGACATAAAAGCGGCTATGACAGAACTGAAGAAAAAAAAGATACGAATATTGAGTGAAGAGCCAAAAATAGGTGCACATGGCAAACCTGTGATTTTTCTTCACCCTAAAGATTGCCATGGAGTCCTTGTGGAACTTGAGCAAGCTTGAGCTGTAATACTCATAAATAAAACAATAGATTAGTTGTGAATTTACTGAGCTGGTGCTGGGAATATTGATGTGATATTCACTCTTTACAAGTTCACTGTAGTTGCCGTGGATTAAGTACAGCTTTTGTGTACTGAAATTGTGCTACAGATTTAGGGTTCTTTTTTGTTGTTGTTGATCTGATTTTCAGAATTAGTATTTATATTTTTTAAATTCTCTATGATTCTAAAGACAAACACATAAGCCAAGTAGCAATTTATGTTCTGTTGCCTCATGTTTGCAGCATGATTTTACCTCTGTAACCACAGAAACTGTACAATTTCTAGGTCAACCCACATTATTTTGTTCTACATTTCAGAGCAGAGACCCACTTCTCAGTGACAACACTAAAGCTTAGCTATTCACCTTAGAAATAAAGGAAAAATGAACATTGTATTTTCTGTTTTCACCATTCACCATCTACGCTTCACCCTGATTGATTGGTTCATGCAATAAGAAAGAAATCCTTACATTATTGTATGGTTGCCTGCAATCAGTAAATAAGTTTTCTTTGGCATAACTACTGCCAAGGAAGTTACTATTCATACATCATCATTTAGTTGTTTTATGAACACTGTGGTTATGCAGACAATTCAAGAAAAGTACCTGAAAAATTACTTGCCTGAAATGTATTTCATACTGTAGTGTACTTTTCATTTTATTTCTTTTTCAAGTATTGAATATTTGTTTTTTAAGCTTTAGCCATATGAAGATATCTGGGACAGACCTGAACAAATAGTGATTAATCTTTTAACTTACTTTATAAATAAGGTTTTCTGTGCAAAACCACTTGCAAAATCAGTGGCAAACACAAGCCGCTTAAGTCTTGGTTACGAACACTGCCTTTAACATCAGAGAGCGTGCCAGTATGCTCATGTTTCTGACAGACTGCAGTCACAGTTTGTTGACTTATTCATGTGCAGTCTTCACTTTATTGGTGTACTATGCAAGCAGTGTTTGTCCTGATACTTTCTTTTATAGGTTTGCTTTGACATGTCAGCTGTAGAAATTGAAGACTTACTGTTTCTCTCTCTAGTTTTCTTAATCCCTACAAGTCATATTTTTTCCTAGCTAAACCACCATCTGGATTTTATATTTTCCTACATTTCTGCATGTACAGTGAATAGCTTCAGGTTGATATGAAGTTCATTTTAGTCTAAGAGAATTTTTACTTAATGGGAATGAAATTATTTGTGTTCTGTATCATGTTTGCTACAATAAAACACAAGTATAATGTTGACCTGAAATTTAAACAGGGCTTAAAAGACATTGATGCTCCCTCATGAATTTTACTTCTGAAAAAATCTCAACAAAGCCATCCATTTTTTAAAGAAGATAGTTTTGTACTCAAAACAAATACTCATTCTGCCATATTTTAAGAAAAATACGAAGTCTTTCACAGGGTTCCTGTGTTTCATCAAATCACTGTTTAGAGGGTAGTTTGTGATCTAAATTCTAAATTGTTTGAATTTAGAAATCCTAAGACTCATGATGGAAAAGCAGGGTGACTTGATATTCCTGAAATATGATTCTGCCATTCTAGGAGACATTCTACCAGCAAATCTGCTTTTATCTTTCTGTTTTTTTCAGAGATGGGGAGGCATCTTTTCTGCAAAAAATTTACAGGAATGCCAAGATTAGAAGCCTCACTAGTTACATGTCAAGATAATTGAACACAAGTCTTTCAACCTAATACCCTTAATTTCATGCAACAGAAAACAGGGCAGTTCTCCCTAGGTCATACTCCATTTCTTTGTCCTGGCTGAAGGAGGTGGAAATTTGTGTATAACATGTATCAATACGCTCACAGTAGTGGCTTGATATACTATGAGGGAATGGACATTTTGAGTAAACAATACTTCACTCGCTTCCTTGTGCTCCCCATTTTATTAACAGAAAGAGACTTGTAATGCTTTTTCCTGACTGCAGTGGGATTATTTAGTGCTGACTCAGCTGATGTATTCTGCTCACTGTAACTAAGTCAGGCTTCTATCTCACTCATAGTTTATAAATTTCATCTGACTCCTCCTAAGGTGGAAGTCAAGATACCAACAAAAAACAGCCCCCACAAAAAAGAGGGTTTATAGCTGCAAAATTAATCAATGCCCAAAACTGGGGCATGCTTACTACAAGTTCATACCATTTGGTGGGATCAGATCCCATTATTTGTCTGGGTATGTACTACAATACATGAGAATTTTCACCTCTGGAGCTATAGACTTGTAAGGAACAGCCAAGAGAACTGGACAGCTGAAGAATCTGAAGATAGCTAAGATGCATTGAGAGAAGCTTCCTGTTCATAAACCTAACTCCACTAGACTTCAGTGGGAACAGGATCAGCCCCTAACAAACTTACAGTCCTTCACCTTAAACACAACAGCCTTCACAAGTCATTCTTTGCTCTGACTTTCTAAAGGATTGGGGGCGTTAGATATATGGGCCTTACCCTTGTTCACTCCCATGATTATAAGAGGGGAGTAAAATCAGTTAAATTCAGGGATGGAAACTGGAGCAATAGAGAACCATGATTTTTTCCAGTGGAGGAATACTTAGTGATATACCATTGTTCCATCGGTATACAGCTTCTGGCAAGAACAAGTGATTCAAATAACCAGATCCTGATTAGCTTGGAAGGCAGTTAGACTTTGACAATGGGTACTTGGTTCTTTGTTTGTTTGGTTGTTTTTTTTGTTGGTGTTTTTGTGTTTTGGTTTGGTTTGGGGTTTTTTTGCTTCTTCCCAACAGGTACAGTGAAACCTTTTTCTCTGACAATGTCAAATTTTCAGAGGATGAACTGTCAATATTTTGCCAGTTAATTTTCTCAGGGTTGTGTCATTTGTCAAGTGCATGTTCCCTATTCCAGTCTTTCCATGTGTCTTTTTTCCCTTCTGAGCACAAGCATGTTCCCATTTTATGCTGCCAAAGGCAGACAAGACACATTTTTCTGGACTCTATCAACATTATGCAGCAGCTAAAGGGCTCATAATTAAATCATGCAAAATGTCTTTTTTTACTTTATGCAACCCTCAAGATTCTCCTAGGTGGGAGGAGGACAACTGGCTGCAGAATGAATCCCATTCTGTATGATGAGACAAACCTAGAAGCAAACTCAAAAAGCTAATGATGTGCCTTTTAAAAGCTAACCTCACAGTTTTGCAAAACCCCTGGTTCAGTTGCACTTGTACTGCATTAATTCACCTCAAGTGAAAAACAAACCAAAACCAAACCCAAACCACTGGGTATTTCATTCTGAATTCAATTGCTCTCTTTATTACCACATTTACCCAATTTATCACAAGTTTTGGAAGAATGTACTTTATCATAGTGCCACAGCAACAGTGCCTTAATACGGTTAACATAGCCTATAAATTCAAAAAGCTGTGAATGAATTACAAGAGGATGGCACTTGCTTCTGCGGACCATTTCCTGGGTGTATAATACTTCTGTGTTTAATGCTGAGATTAGAGTTTACTTTCTTAATGTACATGCAGAAGCATTGCTGACAGTTAATGACAGTCCTTGGATTTGGACTTTTTTGCTAAGATAAATGAATGGAAGTTAGTGTGACCAAGGAAGTCTCATAGAAAGATTAGGAAACATGGAGATGTTTGCAATATCTAGTTGAGGTACTTACAGTAGGTGTTCTGCATGATTTCCTTGGCATTTTATTTGATTCCTTCCTTACAAGAAATTCTTCCTGTAGTGACCTGACATGGTTTTTTTTTTTATTCAAGAACCCTTAATTAAGACAAACAGAGTTAATTGTGTCAATAAATACTTGATTCTTTTACCAAAGCAGTTCTCATGTTGGCCAAATGATTAGAGTGAAACAGAAGAAATCCCTAAAATGGTATCCCTGGTGCTTTTCATAAGAGTGCTGGGTGGCACTAGAGACAGAAAGGTAACAGTTTAAACTTGGACTATTGAATCATACGACAAGGTGATGTGCCTAGTGGATGAGGAAAAGGCTGTGGATGCTGTCTACCTAGACCTTATCTCTACAACTACCTGAAAGGAAGTTGCAGTGAGCTGGGGGTCGGTCTCTTGTCCCATGTAACAAGTGATAGGACAAAAGGAAACAGCCTCAAGTTGCACCAGGGAAGGGCTAGACTGGATATTAGGTAACATTTCTTCAGGGAAAGGGTTGTCAAGCACTGGAACAGACTGCCCAAGGCAGTGGTTGAGTCACCATCCCTGGAGTTACCTAAAAGGTGTGTAGATATGGCACTTAGGGACATGGTTTAGTGATGGACTTGGCAGTGCTGGGTTAACAGTTGGACTTGATGATCTTAAAGGTCTTTTCCAACCTAAATGATTCAATCATTCTATATAAGATTAATATGGAAATGGAAGCTAACAATGATGTATAAATTAATTGGCCCAATGCTATCATTTTAAAATGGAAGACTTCACCTGCTTAGGAATGCAAAATCTGTCACCTTTGATAAGCATTTTCAAACCAGTTTGAGCATTTAATGAAATGTAAATTTATCTTATCATGAAGGAGGGAGGTTTACCTCCAGGGATTGTATAATCCTTAAGCATCTATAAAATTATGTAATCTATCTAGTTTCATGTTCATTTGCACTGTCATGCACATTGTTAAGCATTTTAAAATAATGATTTCTTTTGAAGCACTTCATGACTTTTCTAGGTATAATCTAATCTTTTAATTGTTATGCTTTGCTAATATAAAAATAGCAATTAGATACTAAAATCTTTCATAAAATAGATACTAAAATCTTTCATAAAATAGGTCTTTAATGAAGATTTTTACTTTTAACTTTTTTTTTTTTCAGTAATAAAGATACATTTAAACAATGATTTAGAAAAACAAGAAAAGTTCTGAAGTACCTAGTAACCCTGGGTATTCTGAAGACATATGTGACAATGCACAGTTTGTATTAGTTAGGGGCAATATCCTACTTCTGCATCTGTGGCTGGCTTGTATGAAAAAAGATTCCTTCTCAAAATTGAAGAGTAGCATAGAGGTGCATTGTTGGACTGA